TCCACCCATGGGTCTCACAATCTATAAAATGAAATCCAGCCTCATTGGCAGTGGTACTTGGAGCTCTGCAAACTCTGTCATCTTCTGTATTTCTAGGCATCATCTGACATTGCCCTGTTGGCGGGAAGTTCATGCTACCTGAAGTCGAACATTCACTTTGGAGTTAGAGGTACCTAAGTTCAAAACCAGACTTGCTATTTACTAGCTATGTGATATTAGGCAAGTTACTTGGCCTGAGTCTATAGGAAAGATAATTACTGGGTTTCTTTCCTATAGTATTTCTTTTTTAAAAAAATGTATTTGGTATGGTGTCGCACTATGCAGCTCTGTGCCTGAGGGCGGGGCCAGTGCAGCATGTGGTGCCAGGGATCAAACCCCGGTCCCTGTGCTTGCTTAAGCAGGCACTTAGCCTGCTGAGCTATCTCGCTGGCCCACTTTCTGATAATCTTTAAGGAATTCTATTTACCTTAAAGGTCATTGTGCAGATTATAAGTAGAAGTAAAAACTGTGGAGGCTAGAGGTCATCCCAAAAGATGGTTTTCATTGCTGTTATGTGTCATCCACTTCTAGGCAACTCATGTGTGTGGAAACATGCAAACCAGTTACAACTGCCAAGAATATAGAAATTTCCACTTTTATCTTTCCTCTCTGCAGATTTTCTCCTATTAAATCAAACTATGTACATGTTGCCTCTACTATCCAGCTCTCCAAATAAGGACCCTGGATTATACTTACTTATTTACCTGACTCTGTCTATGGCTTTTTTTTTTTTTTTTTTTTTTTTTTTGGGCCAGGTATTGAACTCAGGACCTTGTGTTTTCCAAGCAGGGGTTTATGCCACTGAGCTATCTTTCCAGCCCTGTCTGTGGAATTTCTAATGACTTGACTTTAATCTCACTAGCTTTTGGTGCCCTATCACGTAGAATAGTGCCTGGTACATAGCAGACACCCTATAAACATCAGTTGAATGTTGAATGACAGAGCAAAAAGCATAGATTATGGAATCCAGGAAGTGTAAAACATCGACTAACAATAACAGTGACAATGGAGCTGGGAAGATGGCTCAGTGGAATAAACACTTTCCTGGCAAGGGCAAGGGTCTGAGTTCAATCTCCAGTTCCGAAAAAAAAAAAATTAATAATAACAGTGACATTTACCTATTTTTTTAAGTTTTGAAGTATTTTACATATTTTATCTAAAATAATCCTTAGAAGAATCCCACAAGAAGGTTTTATGATTGTTTATAATATAGATGATTAGACTGAGCCTTTAGAAAGAGATCAACAATGGCAGCATTTCAGAGAATCACCAAGCATGATAGAGGACTCTTATAATCCTAGACTGTGGGAGGCTGAGGCAGGAGGATCATCTTGAATTCAAGGCTAGTGTGAACTACATAGTGATACCCTATCTCAAGAATCCAGGAAAAAAAAAAAAAAGAAAAAGAAAAAGGAAAGAAAGAAAATAGCTAGAACACAAAGGAGGCTTACACCACAGACAATGGAGTGAAAATTAGCCTTTCCATATGGATTACAAAGGAAAATTTCTCTAGTTCTCCATATTACTATCATATCGATTGGTACAATGGAAGGCATTATCATATTAGAGTTGAAGGGCTGGGGAAGATAGTGGCGTAAGCATCTGCCTGGTAAATGCAAGTTCCTGAGTTTGATACCCAGTACCAAAACAAATAAACAAAGTTGAGATAGCTGAGTTGTAGACTTTTATCTGTATCTTTTGAATCTTTGAGGCATTTATGTAACTTTCCTAGGCCTTGAAAATATTTTTCAAGGGGGCCTGCCCCTTAGCTCAGTTCTTTAAGTGGCTGCTTCAACAAAGCTGTCAGGCTCAGGTTGCTGTGGTTCGATCCCCACAACTCAAGCCAGCCAGTCATGCCCTGAAGGCATTCGGAGCAAGAAAATATTTTTCAGAATGATCTGTAACATGCCTGACAGTTCTGAAAAACTTTAGCTGGAGGGTCATTATGGTATGGTTGGCTTAGAGGAACTAAATATATGCTATGTGTTCTTGTCAACAACACCATTCTATAACTTTAGGCTAAGAATGATAGATAAAAACTATGATTTTTGGAAAGGAGGAATGGCAGGAAAGGAGGGAAACCAAGTTTTCTGACCCTATAGACAGCGCTATTCACTGTCTTTTGCCCAAATCTGGCTCTAGAATTTCCATGAGAAAATGAAGTGCTGTTCCCTTTACTGAGTTGAGACACTGGTGACACTTCTCTTTCCATTAATTCCTTAGAGAAATGAAAGGAATTGATTCCATATAATAGATCAAAGCAGGTACAGGCTCCTCCATCCCCAGGTCTCTTAACTTTCCAGTTCAAAATAGAAATCAGAGAAATAAGTTTTGAAATCAGCTTTCTTTTCTCTTTTTTTAAAGAGGGGCCTATATTACATTTTGATTTAATTTGTCAGAATTTCATCTTTCACCTTTGGTGAACTGATTAGATGAAATTAGATTATATCTGGGGAATCTGTATTAAAAAATGGTTTAAGCTTCCCTTCTGAAGATGAGCTGTCAAGGCCATAGACTGTCTGTCCTCAGGTGACTTCCCAGGTTACCTCCTGTAGCTCCAGCACCTGAGTTTGTGTGTCTGTCTAGAGCCTTCTCAGTAGCAGAGTCAGACTGCCTGCTAGCCTGTTTCTGAACTGTGTACATTTGGGACAGTAGGGACCAGGCTGGTCTCTCCAGCATTTTCAGCTGGTCCATTTGAGTCACAAAATTGTCCTTCCTATGGAACCCCATGTGGAGCCTGAAGCTAACAGATCCCCATTAACAGTGGTTGAGTAAGCTGACCTAGTCCAGCATCATTCCTAATGCAAGAATCCCTTCTGGAGTATCCTTCAATGGTCATTCAGCTTCTGAAAGAAAGAAAGGCAAAAGGAAAAAATATATATCTATATACAAGATAGTTAAGATAGTTATACAGCTAGTTTCTCTTAGTTCATTGAAAAGAAACATTTGTGCTAATATTGTTTAAACAAAATCTCTTGCTCATATCTTGTACTCTGAATAGCTACTATGAAGATAATAAAGAATGTATTAATTATTGTAATTCTCTTACTAAGATGTTTTCAAACTCTATTTTATTGTTATTTTTTCTTTTTAAAATTTTTATTTATTTATTTTTGAGAAAGGGTCTCACTGTGTAGTACAGGCTGGCCTTGAGTTCATTATGTAGCCCAGGCTGGCCTTGAACTTGTGGCGATCCTCCTGCCTCAGTCTCCTGAGTGCTGAGATGACAGGTGTGCACCACCATGCCTGTGTGCATTTTTTCTTATTAAAACAAACAACAACAACAACAAAACACTAACAAAGAATGCCTCTTATTTACAACTTGTAATTCCTGGAAGGACCAAGGCTTCCTCCTCAGTGCTGTTTCTATTGTTTGCAAGCCCTAGGATGAGAGTTGCAATGAAGGTGCTCATACCATCTGCCTCAGTGTTCAAAAGTGATGAACTAGGGGCCTGGAAGATGGCTCAGTGGAATAAGCGCTTCCCTGGCAAGC